GGAATGGTGCCCAACCACTTGGACGGTCGGGGATTGAACGCCGACCTGCATGAAGCGAGACCGACGTTCTACCAACCAGCCCAAATGGTGACGACGGTGAGTCAAAGTTTAAAAGTGGAGAGAATTGCGAGAGTGGAGTGAAACTTCATATATTGTTTCAAGGCCAGCTACGAGAAGGCGTGAGAGAGAGAGGGGGAGTGGCTGCCCTAGATAAACCATAACTCAAGAGTCTCGAGCACAAGAGCTGAAACTCAACCCAGCAAACCCAAGTAGGTTGTTAGCACTCCCCCCCCCCCCCTTAACACACACACACACACACACACACACACACACACACACACACACACACACACACACACACACACACACACACACACACACACCACACGCGCGCGCGCAAGCGGTACCCATAACTGTCATACAGCGAACTTTTCTCAGACCAAGATTATAGGAACCAACTGTTGTAGGGGCAAGAATTTTTTTTCTATCTAACTCATCGACGCTGTTTATTTTTTTTCAGGGGTAAAACGTGAATTATATGCCCGATCTTAACGTGTTGGTGCCCGCGCTTTCTTCTCCGTGATATATTGAAGAAAAGGTTCAAGCAGAAAAAATATTAAACATTTTATGAAGCAGTTATTTAGTGTTCTTGGGATGGATAAAGTCGTTTAAGTTTACCGCCATATGTTACTGTTGACAATAAGGTGCGTGTTGACCTGTGACAATGAGGCCAGGGGACCAGCCCGTCCTCCTAAGGCTTCCCCAACGGCAAGAAAACGGTCAAGGTAAAGTGTCCTCTCCTAAAGTGCCCAAAACAGAAAACGGGACAGTACGTCACTTTCGCCAGCCGCTTCCATTTTCTAGCACGACAATGTTTGGCCTTATGTAACGCATACGAGCGGAAAGCGACGTTCTTTGTAGGAGGAGAGGTTGAGGGGACACCAAGACTTGTGCTCCGACAACTGTTGCCACATGTGCGCCCCAGGTCCCCCTCCACGCCAGGTCCCCCCTCTCCACGCCAGGTGCCCCTCTCCACGCCAGGTCAACACACGACTGTTGTCATGTGCGGTCGTCGGCACTTAATACAAACATGACAAGAAAATCTGGTGTTGCAAGTGCTTGAAGGTTCGGTAATAAGACGACTTGTGCCGAAGTTGATCTTGCTCCACGTGTTGTCTTATTAATCGGTAATAAGACAACACGTGGAGCACAGTGGATGTCGACACGAAGGGAAATGATGACAGATTTTGTTCGTCAACCCCAGAGGCTGCCGCGCTCATTACATGATACACAGCGTTGATCGTGCCAGTAGCAGAGTTCGAGGCTTCCTCTCCACTACCACCTTCCTCGGCTCGCTTCTACGATGGGGGCGAGCGTACAAGACATAAGTTTTTAATTTGGTTGATGAGAGCTTTGATGAACAGAATATTAAATTAGCCAACACGGAAAAACAATACGTTTGTACTGCTTGCTTGATACCTGCTTGATGGGGTTCTGGGAGTTGTACTACTCCCCAAGCCCGGCCCGAGGCCTGGCTCGAAGGTCCTGTGTGTGTTTCTAGTGTGTCAGCCTTAGTACTGACCAAGGCCGACACACACTAGAAACAACACGAAAATAACAGGACGTTAATGAAATAAATAAAAGTGTAACTTAGCATGGAAATGTTGCGACAGAGAAAATGAGTTTTGTGTTAAACATTTTCGTACACTATATTGTTTGGGGTTGAGGAGCTACTAGGGGGAGGGTTGGGTGGCAGGCAACACGACCACCACCAGTATTTTAACAACTTAACAAAACTAAGTCAAGCCCAGAGATGTAGACCTTTCATAAGTACAGCAGATAATATAACAAAACTTAAAATAGATCAACTAAACATTATTACATATAAACAATATTCTGATATATATATATATATATATATATATATATATATATATATATATATATATATATATATATATATATATATATATATTATATATACTAGGTTAGATTTGAGAAACTCGTCTTAAACATTTTATTAAACTAGCAAGAAAATAAAATATGAGGTGCGGCTAACGTTAGAGGAAAAATCATATCCCAAAAGCTTCTCTGGGAAATCCAACAAAGATTAGGGAGAAGACTGGGCCACAGTACAATTAAGCAGTTCATGTAGGTCATAAAGACAAACAAGGGAGTAGTTGCGTAAATATCGCTGCTACTCACTCCCCCAGGGAGGGGGTGAAGGGGGGGGGAGGAGAGGGAGTGGAGGAGGGGAAGATTATGAGGGAGGGAGGATGACGGGTGAGGGAAAAAGAATTGGGGGTTGTCGGGAAAGATGCATACTACCCCGGGCACCACCGGGTACCTCTCCTAGTAGCGTGATAAACCTATGCAACAGTCTGCCCGAACTCAGCACCGCTCCTGTGCCAGGTAAGTCCACTACGGGCTCACCATAGCCCGTGCTACTTGCCCCGCTCCTGTGCCAAGTAAGTTACGGGCTCACCATAGCCCGTGCTACTTGCCCCGCTCCTGTGCCAGGTAAGTTACGGGCTCACCATAGCCCGTGCTACTTGCCCCGCTCCTGTGCCAGGTAAGTTACGGGCTCACCATAGCCCGTGCTACTTGCCCCGCTCCTGTGCCAGGTAAGTTACGGGCTCACCATAGCCCGTGCTACTTGCCCCGCTCCTGTGCCAGGTAAGTTACGGGCTCACCATAGCCCGTGCTACTTGCCCCGCTCCTGTGCCAGGTAAGTTACGGGCTCACCATAGCCCGTGCTACTTGCCCCGCTCCTGTGCCAGGTAAGTTACGGGCTCACCATAGCCCGTGCTACTTGCCCCGCTCCTGTGCCAGGTAACTTACGGGCTCACCATAGCCCGTGCTACTTGCCCCGCTCCTGTGCCAGGTAAGTTACGGGCTCACCATAGCCCGTGCTACTTGCCCCGCTCCTGTGCCAGGTAAGTTACGGGCTCACCATAGACCGTGCTACTTGCCCCGCTCCTGTGCCAGGTAAGTTACGGGCTCACCATAGCCCGTGCTACTTGCCCCGCTCCTGTGCCAGGTAAGTTACGGGCTCACCATAGCCCGTGCTACTTGCCCCGCTCCTGTGCCAGGTTAGTTACGGGCTCACCATAGCCCGTGCTACTTGCCCCGCCCCTGTGCCAGGTTAGTTACGGGCTCACCATAGCCCGTGCTACTTGCCCCGCTCCTGTGCCAGGTTAGTTACGGGCTCACCATAGCCCGTGCTACTTGCCCCGCTCCTGTGCCAGGTTAGTTACGGGCTCACCATAGCCCGTGCTACTTGCCCCGCTCCTGTGCCAGGTTAGTTACGGGCTCACCATAGCCCGTGCTACTTGCCCCGCTCCTGTGCCAGGTTAGTTACGGGCTCACCATAGCCCGTGCTACTTGCCCCGCTCCTGTGCCAGGTTAGTTACGGGCTCACCATAGCCCGTGCTACTTGGAACTTGTTACGTGTAGCTGAATCTATAACAACAACAATAACTTTCCGAACGAAACCGTCAATGCCAGGACATTACTTCACGTTAATATACAATCGGAAAAAACTTTCATGGACAATATTGGAGCTCTGACAAGCCGGAGCCGCCTTAATTGTCCCCATCGAGGCCAGTAGTGACCCTCGGGTACTAACGGGAGGGCTGTGAAGACGAGCACCTAACGGGAGCCGGAGAGTGCAGCAACGGATAAAAAGTCACTTAATGGAACAAAATACCAGAAAATGTGCAGTCGTTAAACTCTGCTGGCGCTGGCTTGGCCCTCCAAGGGTAAGGTGGTGCGCGCCTCTCCGCTTCTAGACCTCTTTATCATAGCTACTTTTATAACTAACAATATAAATAGCAACAACAATCTTTTTTCATATTCATTCTACTTACTAACCTCACGCCGAGTGCCTCCCTAAGGCACACCTGTCTGTTTGGCTTCCTCCCATTGTCTCTCGTCACATTACAGACACCCAGGTTGGTGTCTGCGTTCTCAACACTCCTAAATCACCCTCGCGTCTATTCCGGTAGACTACTTCTACCGTCTACCCTGGCATCTACTTCTCCAAGCCTCGTGGCTCACCTTGCTCTGTCCTGTACAAGTTCAAGTATGTTTATTGAGATAAGCAAGAAACAATATTGAGATAAGCAAGATAAGCAAGTACGTGGGTGAAGTATTTAGAGCGGCTGTTCGAACACAGGAAAGGAAGGACTCACTGGTTGAGACAAGTTGGAGGGTAATCAGTTGTGAGCGGTCCTCACGCAGCAACCTGTTCATCGATAAAGGTCATATGTTCGATAATCCAGTCACCAACCTCCAACCCCTGTTTATGAATGACAAACGGTTCTCACACGACTCACAACTGATGATGTTCGAGCATTTCTTGAACCGTGTTTCAGTGACGACCTCTGATACAGTAGCAACGCTGCAAATGCTTCCCCGCGTATTAGGAATACAAATAAACAACAGAATCTAAACATTCTAATCTACGCCTAAATATACATATAACGAATGCAAAATAGTATTACTTATATGAGAGCAAACTTATTTTAAATACACAGTACGTATAAAAATTAATGAATGCATCTTTGGCCGCCGGACGGCCGCCGCTTTAGTGAACCTGGTGCCGGATTGGTCAAGCAGTTACACAAGTACTTACGAACTTGTACATCTTTTCTCAATCTTTGACGGCTTTGTTTACATACATTGAACAGTTTGTGAGCTCCGAAACACTTGGAGGCTGTTTATAATAATAACATTTGACTGGGAAGTTTCGATGCTCATAAACTTTCAATATCTGTAAACAAAGGTGCCAAAAGAGTGAGAAAAGATGGACAAGTTCGTAATTAGGTGAGTAAATGCTTGTTGAATCCTTGGCCTGGGGACAGGTTACAGTGACAGGTCAAATGTTCACATGCAGCGCTGTACAGCCATAAACAGGGCATGGTGGTGGAATATAGAGCACTTGGTCAACGGAGAAGTGCTGTAAAGACTAAACATTGCAGGTACAGCAGCAGTCTTACCTGTGATTAAATATAATGTCCTCGGTAAGTTAAGGTAGAGTGTGGAGGGAGAGGGCGAGAGACACAAGAGCGAGGAACACCAGCACCGCCTACCACCACGGGGGAAGCCAGACTGCCAGGCACGGCTGGCAACACCTCCCTTCCGCTCTCAACCCCGACCCCTTCACCCACCTCCCACCCCACTCACCCACCTCCCACCCTAACCCCTAAAGTTTTTACCTTTTGCATTTAATTAACACGTGAAGTAAAAGCCATTACATCATCTCCACCGCCGCTCAGTTCACTTGCAAGGTGTGTTTGCATCAACATGTATCTTTTTCTTGGGTTCTTTTTGAACACAAAAGCCAGAATGCATATTGGTGTATGTTGTGTTCTACCCTGGGGCCGTGTCCATGTGTTGGTCCTCGCTGACCACGACTCCTTGTCCGTGGTGCGTGTCCCCCCAGCGGGGTGGTACACGACCAGGCCTTCCCACCCTTGTCAAGCCAAGGACATAAACAATTAAAAAATGAATACAAAATAAATACAATTATAATTATATATATATATATATATATATTATATATGTCGTACCTAGTAGCCAGAACGCACTTTTCGGCCTACTATGCAAGGCCCGATTTGCCTAATAAGCCAAGTTTTCCTGAATTAATATATTTTCTCTATTTTTTTTCTTATGAAATGATAAAGCTACCCATTTCATTATGTATGAGGTCAATTTTTTTTATTGGAGTTAAAATATACGTAGATATATGACCGAACCTAACCAACCCTACCTAACGTAACCTAACCTATCTTTATAGGTTAGGTTAGGTTAGGTAGCCGAAAAAGTTAGGTTAGGTTAGGTTAGGTAGGTTAGGTTGCCGAAAAACAATTAATTCATGAAAACTTGGCTTATTAGGCAAATTGGGCCTTGCATAGTAGGCTGAGAAGGACGTTCTGGCTACTAGGTACGACATATATATATATATATATATATATATATATATATATATATATATATATATATATATATATGGGTACTACCTCTGGTGCAATTGTAAGGACCCATAGCCTCGGTGAAGAAAATAAAGTGTATTCAAAGAAGACCTTGTGAATTCTCACTGAACGCTTTAATATTTTTTTCTACCACCTCTATTTTTTTATTATTAATTTAATTACATTGTGTAATAATTTACAGAAAACACACATATATAACAACCACTGTTCGAAGACCTCATCCAGCTCTTCGGAGTGGGGTGCGTGCCCAAGGGTGACTCCATCTGGGCGTTTTTGGCTGTTGTCAGGTCTGCACAACTGGGGTTCCCTTTGTGCTGGACACCCAGCTGTAGCCAAACTTCTCTTGATGATGTCATTGACCTTTTCATGTTTGGCAATCTTTCCCTGTGTCTCACGACAGATGAGACCATGGCTGCCGTATTGGTCTGCCGACGCATGGCCGCAAATATACCGGTGTTCGGTGGAGATAGGGGCGGCAAGGCGCAGAACAACACCAATACTTAGGGTCCGATGGTCCAGGCGGGTGCCCAAGGTGTTATATATATTATATGTATATTATATAAACCCAGGTTCGATTTCAGCAGAATTAATAAGTAATTATCAAAAGAAGGCACCAAGCCGGGAAAGCTATGTAATACCATAGCATAATGAATATATGAAGCTACATATCATTACCTACGTGACGCCAACAAAGCAGAAACATTGTATACAAGACTTACTATGGCCCACATTACCTGCGGGTGTATGGGGGCGCGGGCGACCTTGCTCAACGCCCGGGTCATCACCAGTTTATTCTGGTCATATCCATACTCACTCTCATCCCCGTGCAGTCTCTGGGGCCCACAGGCACTAGTATAATCTTGTGCATATCTCCAGCATAAGTTAATATAAATCTTTCATGTCAGAGAAAAACAAATTATGCGAGAGTAAATGTTAGAGTCGGCCTCAGTCCACGACTTACAGAGTCAGGTCATGCGTTGGTGATTGCGTAGTCCCGAGCGACCTTGGTACATTGCTAAGTATGGGTCCAAGATGAGGGGGGCTGAGAGTGCCAGAGGTGGCATTAGAGTGAGAGGCGGGCAGGGCCTTGTGGAGGTCATCAAGAGGAGAGAGGGAGTTCTTGGTTACGTTCCCTGACCGGCGTCAGTTTCCTGACATTGGTCAAGGAACTGTGTCAACATTCCCGTTTTCCTCGACTTAATGATGAAGATGTCTGGAATACGTGTTTTCACACTTGTATAATAGCGTTTATATATAATAGTACGCCAGCTATGCGTACTAGTGGCTTTACAAGAATGTAAGATGTTGTTGACCAGACCAGGTCAAGAATGAGAATGGTCCAGGACGGACCGAAACGTCGTCGTCCCTTCACCTTCTAGTGTGTGGTCTGGTCAACATATTTCAGCCACGTTATTGTGACTCCTCGCCTGCACAGGAATGTAAGAACTCTTGTATATATAAATAAAAAAAAAAAATAAAAAAGTGAGCAGTATAAATTATATAAAATAGAGTATAAATAGAGCACTAAAGAGTATATAGAGTAGTATATGGTATATACAAAAGTATACAGCAGACACGCAGACCGAGAAGAGAAATAAAGCCGCGTGACACGAGAGATGGTGTGGAGGCAGCTGGAAACACCTCCCTTACTCCCAGGTTGTTGTTGTTGTTTAAGATTCGCTACTTGGAACAAAAAGTTCCAAGTAGCACGGGCTATGGTGAGCCCGTAACTCCCAGGGGTGAGATTCAGAAAAGCACTTACGAACGTGTACATCTTTCCTCAATCTTTGACGGCTTTGGTTACATTTATTAAACAGTTTACAAGCCTGAAAACTTGCCAATCAACTGTTGTTATTGTTATAAACAGCCTCCTGGGGCTTCGGAGACTGTTTAATAATTGTAAACAAAGCCGCCAAAGATTGAGGAAAGATGGACAGGTTCGTAAGTGCTGGAGTAAGTGTTTTCGTGAATCTGGTCCCAGGACCCCAAGTCTTCAACAGGTTGCAGGCAGGATGTGTGCTTAGTGACCTGTCTGCTCATGTATACTAGTTTAATGCAACTAATATTCATTTACATTTGTAAATTATTTCAGAATTGTGAAAATTATAGCTAAATGGGGGAAATAAATTTGAATTTGGAATTATCAAGGGAAAAAGCCAAGCCATTACGACTTTATAGCTCTTGGAAGGGTTCAGGATAAGGATTTGGGGGTGGGACGGAGGGGAAGGAATGGTGCCCCAACCACTTGGACGGTCGGGGATTGAACGCCGACCTGCAAGAAGCGAGACCGTAGCTCTACCGTCTAGCGACGGTCTATTGAGTAATTGTAAATATTTTCACAGTATGACGAGACGGATCTGTTACGACAGACTGAGTCACTGAGACAAGATGAAAGAAAGCTATTGAGTATATTTTCCTAACAAAAAGAGGGCGTGTTAGAGCAGGTCCGGCTGAGTGAGGGAAGGGCCGGCTGAGTGAGGGAAGGTCCGGTTGAGTGAGGGAAGGGCCGGCTGAGTGAGGACAGGTCCGGCTGAGTGAAGGAAGGGCCGGCTGAGTGAGGGCAGGTCCGGCCGAGTGAGGGCAAGTCCGGCTGAGTGAGGGCAGGTCCGGCTGAGTGAGGGTAAGGCCGGCTGAGTGAGGACAGGTCCGGCTGAGTGAGGGAAAGGCCGGCTGAGTGAGGACAGGTCCGGTTGAGTGAGGGCAGGTCCGGCTGAGTGAGGACAGGTCCGGCTGAGTGAGGACAGGTCCGGCTGAGTGAGGACAGGTCCGGCTGAGTGAGGGCAGGGCCGGCTGAGTGAGGACAGGTCCGGCTGAGTGAGGACAGGTCCGGCCGAGTGAGGACAGGTCCGGCCGAGTGAGGACAGGTCCGGCCGAGTGAAGACAGGTCCGGCCGAGTGAGAACAAGTCCGGCTGACTGAGTCCGAGAGTGAGGGCAAGTCCGGCTGCGCGAGAGCGGTTCCAACTAAGCCAGAACAGACATCTTTCATAAGATAATACAACAACAACACCATGGCAGGTTACCCACGGCTCCGGCAACAAATCTATACAAAATAAAACACTTATTGTAGCATCTAACACCGAAAATGTGATATTACACTGTATGAAATATTACATACAGTTTGAAAATAACTGTATGTAACCAGTAGTGCCAGATGGTGTCTCCACAGATCTCCAGTGTCATCTACTGATACTGGTAATCGCTCAAAAGGGCCACCACTTAACGGGCTATTCATGCCCGTGCCACCTCTTGGGTGGCTTAATCTTTACCAGTCAACCATCAAATGGTGTCTGAGCTGACGACCGTCCTCCCGCGGAGGCAAAAACTGTACTGCGAGTGGAACAACAATGTCGACTGTTCAAATGTTTACGAATACCGCCATTGTCTGCCTGTCAGACTATCACGACGGGGGCAGTGTGATGATTGATTGGCTGGAAGCTTTATGACGTCATGACGAGGCAGTGTGATGATTGGTTGCCTGGTAGCGTTGCACGATGACTCAGCTATTGTGTATTGAATTTAACGTAATAAAGCAATTGATTTAAGTTACGATTTTGCAGAGCCATCATTGGTTAGCCAAATGGTGTTTACATGTGATGTCATTGGTTAGACAATGGTGTTTGTATGTGACGTCATTGGTTAGGCGACGATGTCTATAGATAACATCAAAATACGGCGGGGAATAATCAGTGTTGTGCCGCCAGGGGGACTATGGTGGACATTGTCGTCACTGCTGGTTGTGTGGTGGAGCATGGCTGTGGTGGAGCATGGCTGTGTGGTGGTGTATTGCTGTAGTGGAGCATGGCTGTGGTGGAGCATGGCTGTGTGGTGTGTATTGCTGTAGTGGAGCATGGCTGTAGTGTGGAACATGGCAAGTGGGGGGGGGGGAAGTGAACGGCAGTAACAGTTCAGGATAACTCTCTACTGCTTCATTGAAATTTCCTGGCAGTCAACGCTTCACCGACAACCCGTCTGCCAGCCAGCCAACCACACAGCCAGCCGACCACACAGCCAGCCGACCATCCTGCCAGCCGACCAGTCTGCCACCCTGTCAGCCAGTCTATCACCCGGCCGTCCACTTAGCCAGTCTGATATCGGATAAATTAGGATTTCG